GCCCATATATATATATATATATATATATGAGATAGTCACACACTTCAATATTTTATTTTATGGTGGCCGTTGTGAGATTAGGAGTGTGCTCAATGTTTATCATGAAAAGAAAGATTATCAATAGGAATTTTACCTTCTCAAAAAAAACAAAAAATAAAAGAAAGATTATCAATAGGCAATTATTGTGTCCATAAGAGCATGGCTGAATGGTTAAGGTATAGAAATAATAACTTGTAGATCTCATGGTCAAATCTGAGCTACGACATTCAGTCACTTAGTATGGGCCCATCAAATCTAGCTATGGCGAATAGATTTACCTGACATCTCTGCACATAAGTCGACTCTGACACCAACATTCATTAGCAACTACGTTTATGCTTCAATCCCAAGCAAGTTGTGGTCGCTATTTGAATCCTCAATGACCATGCCGCTCCATTAAGCTCATCTTAGATAATAATAATAATAATAATAATAATTTTTAAAAAGTATTGGCATATTATGAATAAATATTTTTTCTGTCACTTAAATAACTATCAAAATTTTATGATTATATAAGATATAAAAGACTATAATCTTTACATTTTATTTGCTGGTAATGTAGTGTTGAGAATTGGATTTGAGTTTCTCTACACTTCCCATGACCAGCTATAGCCTAACCAATCTTCTCCTACCTCGGATAGTAATTTCTTTTACCATCCCTGTCAAGGTTGGGAAACTTGATATTGTTAAAATAATGATCTTTACATCTTAGTTTCATATTTGTATGAAGAGGACACACCTTATTAATATTACATATAGAAATAGAATTGGGCTGTACACATCTGTGTGTGACATTTAGTTATTTGAATTATTTATTGAACTTAAGACAGCATCTCTTTATACGCTTAGCATCCTCTTGATGCTAGCAATGAATCTACTTAATAAAAAATATTGATGCGAATTTCTAAAAAATAAATTATTTATTGATGCAAATTTTCAATTTTCCCCCTTGAAACTGTTGTAGCCAGTGAGCTGCTTTTTCTAGAGTACACATTATAAATAATTTTGATTGGAAGTTCTGGTTTTCACAGAAATGTCATTCTGGTTCATATTCTGGTTGGATCATTTGGTCAAATCCATAAAGCTCTTCTCCTGTTTAGTAAAACATTATCACATCATGGAATTCTTTCTCTTATATGGATATACTGTGGCCTTTCGTGCCAATTCTTGCTCTCTCTGTGGCTTTGCGTTGCAGCACCTGTTATTGCTGTTGTTAATTGTAATACATGCTAAATTCATGTGAGCTAATTGTGTTAAACAAGATTTGCCTTTTAATTGGGATTAACTTTTATCATTCATGTTATGGATTTCGCTGCCTATAACAAGTTTCAGCAGCAGGTGTATCTTCTTACCTATCTTTTGATTGGTCAGTTGTCTACTCTCTCACACAAAAAGAAGAAAGCATGTTCACCTGTGTACATCCTTACCTATTCTCGGCCTTGGTTGGGAGGAGCAAGTCCTTATTCATCCTAACCTTTTGGTGCCTTGCAAATTGGTTAGAGTTCTGTGCGAACAGTGATTTTGACAGGTTTGGGAAGCTCCACGGAGGACTTCAAGTGTTAGCTTATCAAAAAGAAAAATTAAGAACAAAAGAAAAAGAAAAATTAAGAACAAAAGAAAAAGAAAATACATCAAATGTGAAATTTGGAGTTACTTTTGTATCCTGGAAGCTATTTTTTAAAGAAAGAGTATACAGTTTAGTACATGACGGGGTGTTGGGAAAATTCAAGTGCTCTTGAATTGAGTTAGGGAAAAGCTACCAGAGTTGTATCCTTCGGGTGGCCCAGTGGTTTGGGCTTGGGACTTCCATCTTGGAGGTCTCAAGTTCGAAACCCCTTGCCAGAGAAAGCAAGGGGTTTGCCTTCTGGATCGAGCTCGTCGCATTGGGCTTGCCTAGTGCGAGTTACCTCTCTTGTGTTGTTTGCGAGCTATTGCATAGGAGCGGGGTTTTTATTATGTGTGCATCCAAAGGGTAGCAGCTGCGGGTTTCCCTTGTCATAAAAAAAAAACAAAAAAACTACCAGAGTTGTAACAGTCTTTTGAAGATGAGAAATGAATAATCATCCTTGTAAAATGTTTTCAGTAAATATTGGACTTATTAACTGAATTGTTTTCTTTAAGTGCTTACTGAAGCTCTAGGACGATATGATTAATTTCAGGTCAATGCTGCTGGGGATCTCTGTGCTATTTGCCAGGAGAAAATGCATACACCAATCTTACTACGTTGTAAACATATATTCTGTGAAGACTGTGTGTCTGAATGGTAAGTTATCTGCACTTCTCTTCAGCCAGTTGTGCTTTGACTCACTTTAAGCATGAGCCATGTGTGCTGGAGTAAACCTTTTGTTAAAATGAAGTAGTAAACCTTTTGTTAAAATGAAGTTATCTCCCTTCTCTCATTAGTCACCTAAGTTTTAAAAGTAATGAGCACAACATGTATAACATAAGATTGCAAATAGCATGTGAACCATAGACAAGCAATATTTGATATCCCTTTCTTCAGTTTCTTTGAACTTATTCAACCTTGAATTGGTAATGGACTTTATTATGCCTAATGCTAGGATCTTCCCTCCGACCCAAGCAAAAGGATGATTTAGTTTTATCAATTTTTACTGGATAGAAACACTCAAGCAAAAGTAGATATATGATGTGTTTCTTCTTTGATATGATAAGCTTCATCCTCCAACCCAGGAGCCAACAATTACCCTTTCCCAATTAGCTCCTTCAGTGGCTCGAACCCTCAGCCTTACTATCAGAAGTGAAGTGGGGAGGTCTTTACTAGAGGCTATTTGCTATGCGTCCTTGTCAAAATAAGATTGACACAATGCTATCTATTTTGTAATGAAATAGGATGGCATCTTCCTTGCCGTTGTTTTTGGTTGACCCATTTTCTGTTGACGTACCGTTTTGCAAATTAATATTGTGCTATTATGTTTTCTCCTGATTCTGAAGAATTACTTGTTTCCTCTTTGTCCTATTTAATGCCTAGAAAACAACCATGGAATAGTTGTAATGAGAATTAGGAAAATTGCTTTTTTTGTTGGTTGCTTGATGGCTCTAATTTGTGGTGCCAGGTTTGAGAGGGAAAGGACATGCCCTCTGTGCAGGTCTTTAGTAAAACCTGCCGATCTAAAATCATTTGGTGACGGATCAACTAGTCTCTTTTTCCAGTTATTCTGAAGAAATTGTTGTCGATGAGAGGGAGTTTCTTCAAAAGCTGCCAATTTCACTAAGAACAGCTATAGCTGAACGCCCATCCACGGAAAAGCATATTGACACACTTATTTCAGAATCCTGATCTGTTTGCTCCCGAAAGTACCAATTGGCTCAACGCAGTCTCTGAGGCCATTGTCTATACACAGTTCCACACAAGGAGCAGGCTATTGTTCATATGTTTGCGAGGAGAAAATGTTTGTATCCGTCCATTAATCAACAGAACTTTCAAGTGTACAATGTATGAAATAGTGTTGTAGTTAGATATATCTTTTTTATCCCCATGGCCAGTTAGGTTTCATCCCCTAAACAAAACCTATACAGAAAAATGCTTATTTCTACCAGTGGTGTTTGCATGTAAAATCAAGCTGGCATCTTTTGGGAAAAGCATAGTCTTGGTTGCCTCGAAGATTTTGCGACCATCATTTAAGTCTGTATCCGCAATGCATAAACATTTGTAAGTTCACCTATTTTAATTTCAGACATGCCACGTCTGGAGTTTCATATGATTGAAGTTCAAACCTATTTTTTTCTTTGATTTATTCTTTCAAAATCTCTAAATTTGTCACATGAAATTCTGTTCTCCTTTTGTCACCGCAAATATTATATAATTAAACCAAATGTCTACATAGAATTAGTAACAATAAAATATTTAGTTATACAGCTAGCGCACACATTAATTTTATATGAATAAAGTACAACATTTTTTATTGGAAATAAAATATTACAACCAAAAAGACTCTTCTCAATCATTAGGAAATTTAGTACCGAGTTTATTCTTTGCAAAAACAGATATGGAGTACCATTTTTTTGTAGAATTCACAGCTCAATCATGGAGTATACCATAATTTAATTTTACTTTTACTTTATCACGTTTCATTTATTGACAGTCAATTAATATAAGAAAGATTACAATTTATACAATTTATAAATATCTAAATTAATTTACTTTTAAAGATTAGACAAATATGGAAAATTAATTAATTAGACTACATGGGGACTACTAACCCTTTTCCACATTTCATCCCACTGTTTCTTCTCCTTTTTGTCATTCACTTTACTACTTCTCCTCTCTCTCCTCTTCTCACACCACTTCTTCATCTTCAACAAAATCTCCATTTTCCTTTCTTTTTTATGCTCTTTCATACCTAACTCATTCATCCTTTTCTTGTTTTTTTCTAAATACCAACTTTTTGAAACAATGCCAACTTGGATTTGAAGTAATTCCTCATATTTTTTCTAGACCCATTTTTGTTACAATGCCAACTTCTGCTGTCTGAGCTATCTTCTCTGATATCAACTGAAGTGTTTGACGTCAATTTCTATCCTGGTAAACTTTCATTTTATCATTCAAACTGAATAAGAAGTTCGTATTTTTCCCTGTGAAAAATCATTAAAAATTGTTTTTAAGGGTTTAGGAATTGGTTAGTAAATTGATGGATCTGGGTTGGTTTCAGTGGAATCAAGTTCATTATTTGACTCCAGTCTACTTTTGAACAAGAATTACCACAAAAGGTGTTTGGAATTATCGACTTTTCAACGGGTTAAAGTATCAAGTCTACTTGCTTTTTCATACTGTTACCGTTATATTTGTTTTGCAGTATCAGATTCTTCAATGAATTTAAAGTACATAAAGTGTGAACCTCAAGTCTGTTTGAGATATTTAAGGGCTTGAGTTTTCGTTTTGTTTTACTGGGTTCATTTTGGATCTGAGAACTCTATCAGTATATAAGTTGTGACAATTTTTGGGCTTGTAGGATTTAGTTGGTTAGTTTTGGTGCTTGCAAGCAAGCATAGTCAATATTGTTGTCGAGAATAAGAAGGTGTGTTTGCGGATTGACATTGTTGTGACTTGTGGATCTGCAGTGTGAATTAACGAAGTTGTGAAGCATGATGAGGCTTCTTGGAAGTCTCACGATGCTTCACCTTCTAATGTGGCTGTTTTGGTTGCCGCGATTAGGCAGTTCTCAGGTAACTGACTTTCCTATAGGGGCTGCGCGGGCACTAGATGCACTCCTCCAGGATTATGCTTATCGTGCATTTGATAGCTCGAGAATTAGAACAGGTGTTATCTATGATGGAAATGTCCCCTCGAATTTGACAGGGATTAAGGTGTCTGGATTGAGGCTTAGGAGTGGCAGCTTAAGGAGTCGAGGATTTGAAATGTATAAAGAGTTCAAAATACCTATTGATGTAGTTGAACAGCCTTTTGTTGAGAGGCTTGTTCTTGTCTACCAAAATTTGGGCAATTTATCTGCAACATATTACAACTTATCTGGCTACATGTACTTAGCTCCTGTATTGGGTCTTCTTGCTTATGATGCATCAAACTTGGCAGCAACTAACTTGCCTGAGTTGGATATCAAAGCTTCCGGTCAGCCCATCTCAATACGATTTTCAGATGTCAAGCCGTTGCCTGTTGGATCATCTCCAAAGTGCGTTTCAATTGACTTACAAGGGTCTCTGAATTTCAGCAATGTTTTGTCAGATAACACTTGCACAACCTTTCAACAAGGACATTTCTCTATTGTGATCGAGTCAATTGCTCCTGGTCCATCCCCTCCAACAGAAACACCCATAAATCATCATAAGGGAAAGAAGAACAAGTCAAAAGTCTGGATAATTGTTGGTTCGATAGTAGGAGGACTATTATTGATGTTTCTTTTAGGTCTTCTAATAGTGTGTGTGAGCAAGTACAAACACAAGAAGAAAATGCAACAAATGGAGAGGGCTACGGAGGTTGGAGAGTCATTACAAATGACTAAAGTCGGGAGCACAAAAGCACCGGCTGCTACTGTAACACGAACACAACCTACACTAGAAACTGAGTACAGACCCTGATTTTTCCCATCTACACAAGCTCTGCTTCACATGTCCACATTCTTGTTTTGTTGATGTTATATATTCTTCCAACCACACTCCTTTTTCTTGGTGTTGCTTTATTCAATTATTTTGTAGGTTTATGATAGCAATGTGGATTGTAGCATGGTTATTGTGTAAACAATAATCTTTTAGCTTTCACATTAGCCATTCATATTTGTGGTGGTTTGTTATGGTGTGCATTTATTCTTTTAGCATTTGTTAGAGTTCATTGTGATGAAAGTTTGTACAATTCATTGACAAGAAATAAAATATTTTGATAGGTTTTTTTTCTTTGCTTATTATGAATTATTTCCTGACACCAAAGATATCACATCTAAAGTAAGATGATAGTGATTCAGTAAATGTCATTTGCTTTTTGTTGGCTTCAAGCTGTCCATGGAAGTTATCCTCCCTTTTCCTTCAGGTTAAAAAGTACAAATGCATATTTTTTTTAATTTCCCACCCGGTGTCCAATACATCATATTGAAGCTCGACTAAATTTGGATTCGCGATGGGAAGTTCCACATTGGGGATAAAACGCTACCTACCTAACAAAGGCGATACCGTACCCAGGAGACTTGAATCTTAGATCTCTTGATTAAGAATGAAGGAGTATTTGCCACTCCACTACAATCATTGTTGGTACAAATGAAGAATTATTCAGACACCAAACACTCTTATGGCTAAAAGCAAAGGAATCCAATTCACAACTGGACAGATTTAGCAGTCTATTTTGCTCTTTGATGATTGTAACATAGATGCAAAACCCTAGTAACTATAAAATATCAACAAAATAAAAGTTAATAATGGAAAGAGACCAAGTTTCCATGTCTTGTTTAACTAGTAGTGGCATTAAAATAAAATTTAAGGTTGGTCTAGTATCAATGAGATGAGACGAACCTCGAAGATGAGGGTTATAAAAAAAAACATCAGGTGATTTCATTTGATTAATCAAAACTTGTAAAGTAGCATGTGTTCGATGGAATATATTAGTCAGAGATGCATACAAATAGATACATAAATGTGTTATTTAACTTGACTTTATTTCACATTTATTTTCTTCACTTTTTGCTATACACAAGTAAACTTTAAACTTGTGTAAGGTTGAACAAATAGACGCATGAGTCTTACATGATATAATACACATAAGACACAAATTGCCACTTATCTATATGTTCAATTTTATATAAGTTTAAATGTGTATTTATGCACACCTAAAGTTAGAAAACATAAATATAATTTAAAATTAAGTTAAATGACATATTTATATAATATACAGAATAAACAATATTGATTAATTGGCTAGGGACTTGCTATATATGCTATTAACAACTATTGAAGGAAAGGGCCAAGTGGAAGAAGCTGGAATAGACAGATAGAGTGGAAGCCATGAACCACTCATTATTTATCATAATTGGCTGAATGCTGATGAGTGGTGATGACATAAATATATAGTGTGGACTGTGGACTCTACTCCCCACTACATCTGTATTGCACTCTGGATGTTCACGTTATCAGGAGGTCACAAATTGAAATCGTAAAAAAGACTTCTTATAAACAAAATACAGAATAACGCTGTATTAGTAGACCCTTGTGCATGCAGCGGAGGAAGAAGCCTAGCTAATAGTTTAATTGAATTTAGTATTTTTTATTTAATTATGTATTTGTATTGAAAATATGTATACATATTAAAATTTAGAACCTAATTATTAACTATTGAAATCAGTCGTTCTAAGCTCTACAACTCGAAAGTTGAAATTATAGTTTCGTCTCAATGCACCAGCTCACTTTTTTTTAGCATTTTGTGTACATAAGAGAGTCAGAGATATACTACTTACAACTGTATTGCTGCAGAATGCAGTATTTAATGAAATCAAAGGTAATTAATTCAAACTGGAATTGACTTTGGTAGCTAGCCATATAGTCAAAGATCCAAACATTTCAACTAGAATCTTCTTTAATGAATTTTTTTCTTAAATATCGAAATTCTTGATTAATGGAGGAACAGTATCATCACTTTGTTCAATAAGATATTAAAATGGATGATTGACTCATTTCATACTAGAAATAATTGTAGAAATCCTTTGATTACTCGAATTTCTACAATTATATCATTATTTTTTACGCAATTAAAGATTAAGGAATGAACTGCCTTTCCACTCCAGACTGGTAAATTTGGTAAAGGGAGGTTTTTCCTCCGCTTTAAACGTCTTTTCCCCGCCTATTCAAGGCACCTTTGTACTTCACTTCCGCTTTATAATATATATATTTTTTTATGTATATAGTACAATAAATATTTAACCTTCTTTGACTTTTTCATATTTTAAATCCCCTTATAAAAATCTTGATTTTACTATTAGAACTCGCAATGGATAGTATGTAAAAACCCTGATCTTCCTTTTAATATAGTACACCCATCCGCTAAATATACTAGGCATAAGTCATAAATATGCTCTTTAACTTGGTCTCGTCAGATATTTATGTCCTTTATTTTGGAATATGCATAATTTGACACTAAAACTTGAATAGAGTTGAACAATTAGATACACATGTCCTACTTGGTGTCCTACGCAGTATTTCGTGTTCTATGTGACATCCTACATTTATTGTGTTGCGTAGGTCACATGTGCCTACTGTTCAATTTTATACTACTTCAAGTACTTATGTATATCCAAAATTAAAAAGAGTAAATACTCCCTCCGTCCCTATTTACTTGTCCATATTTCCTTTTTTAGTTGTCCCTATTTAGTTGTCCATTTTGACAAATCAAGAAAGGACAACAAATTTTTTCCTATTATACCCTTATTTACACTTCTTGAAAATTGTAAAAGTGTATGTTGTTTCCCTCCAATTTATTTCACTTGAATTCAAATAAGTGGTTGTAATTTTGAAGTGAAAAGTTGTCATAAGGGTAAAATTGTAACTTCACTGTGCTAATCATTGTTGCCTTAATCTGTGTGTCATTTCTAAAGTGGACAACTAAAAAGGGACAGAGGGAGTATCAGCTAAGATCAAAATATATATATATGTATTGTACTACCTATAGACTACATTATCTTTGCTGCAAATATGCTTATTTATGATATATTTTGAGTTCATTAAAATATAATAATTTTGATTCAAATTTGATAAATGGATAAGAAAATTTACTAAACAAATATAAATAACAAATTTTGAGTCTAGTAAAAGTAAAACAAAAAGTCTGATAAAATTTAGAAAAGTTAAAATTGTGAATTAAGCCCACATTTTTTTTCTCTGATCTTCCTCTAAATCGTCATTAATTAGCTCATAGAAACAAACGATAATCATAACAATTAAGAAGGAATCTTTTGTTGTCATAATTCTAAACTTGCATGATTAACTTACAAATTCTCCGATCAGATTTATCCTCTCTTTTTTGTCACTTGGCAAAATGAAATCGGTTTGAAATATAATCAGAGACGAATTTATAATTTTAAATTTATGAAAATTTATTAAAGTATAGTTGATTTGAAGCATCAGAATGATGCATAGCCTCTAAGATATGATGCACAGTTGGTCAAATATGATAAAACATTCTGTAAATACTACCTACAATAAAATAGTACGATAATTAAAATACAAGATACAGTAAATAGTAATAGAAATCTAAGGACAAGATACTACGACTAGCAATATCAAATTTGGAAGGATAAGTAACACAACACTTTACTATCTAAGGATAAGCGAGACAATGCTCTATTATCTTCTAATTTTCTATCCTAATCTATATCCTCCATAATCTCCTATCTAAGGTCACGTCTTTAGTAAGCTTCAACTACATCATATCTTGTTTAATCACCTCCCCCAATACTTCTTCGGCTTACCTCTACCTCTCCTGAAATTATCCATAGTCAACCTCTCACATTTCCGCACTATATTTGTCTGTATTTGCCCTTATATTTTTGAAATTATGCATATCTCCTTTTCACATGTCTAAACTATTCCAATATCGCTTCACGTTTCTTGTTCTCCACTGAGACAACTCCTACCTTATCCCAAATATCTTCATTTCTAATCCTATTTATCCTGGTATTCCACACCTCTACTGCAACATTCTCAATTCCATAACTTTCATCTTCTGAATATGTGAGTTCTTGTTTTACCAACACTCCATGCTCCATGCAACATAATTTCCCTATCAAGTAGATCTAAATATTTTTTTAATATTAAAATGAATATATATATATATATATATATATATATATATATATATATATATATATAGTTTTATGAAAAATGATCTAATGGAATAAATGATACATATATGTCGAAAAGAGATTCTTTAGTAGCATTATCCTACAATATATATTTCAAAAATATAAAGGCAAATACATGAAAAGGTATAAAATTGTACTATTCCATTTTGATTTTATCTTTTCCGGTCTAATTGACTCATAAACGTATAGTGCTTAATTGATTCATAAAGTATTATACTTCTGTTTAGCCTCTATTTATCTTGTAATTTGTCATTGTCTTGCCTCCATTTGCTCATATTTATCTTAAAATACGAGTTCAAAATATTTTGTACGTGTAAAATATTAGTACACCTATTATGAAAATTTTGATGCGATAATTCATTACAAATAAGAAAATCTTTAGGATCATTTTTTAAAATTCAATTTTTTTAACACACATAAGAAACTATTTCCTCATATTACTTTGTAGCAAGTTAAGCAAATAATTTGCTTGAGTTGGATATCAAAGTTTCTGATCATCCCATCTTAATAAGTTTTTCAAATGTCTACTGCTTGTTGCATCATTTATAAAGTATGTTTCAATTGATTTATAAGGTTATATGAACTTCAACGGTGTTATCCTTTAACACATGCATAACATTTTAATAACGATATTTCTCTATTGTTATCGAGTCAATGATTCCTCCTCCTGCTCCGTGTCTCCAACCACGACCTTGACTATTTGTATCACCAACTATGAATGCCTTTCCAATTGGAGCATCCATAATTCATAGGAAAGAAGAATAAGTCGTAAGTCTCGATAATTGTTAGTTACTAATTAGCAGGAGGACTAGTATTGATGTTTCTTTTTAATTATTTTGATAGTGTGCATGATAGTATAAACACCAGAAGAAAATGCAATCACTAAAATATGTTGCAGAAGTTGGAAAAGCATTACAAATCACTAAAGTTGGGAGCATAAGAGCATTTAGCGTACTGCTAATATTACACGCCTGCATACTAAATTATAAATGTCTAAAATTGGGAGCAAAAATTTGTGCAATTGCAATTACATATTCTTGTATCCATTTTTTTTTTTGTGT